TATAACTCAGTAAAATTGTTGGGTCAAATTGAAAGTGAGATTTTACTTGTATAAATTGGCAAGACTTTTTTCTGCTTTAAACATAGCATGTGAATGTGAGCTAGTGTATGTGTCTCATCATATTCTCATTCACTTATATATTCAAATTCATATAGTACTGTTTGTATTTGTGAAGTGTAAAGTTTAATTATTCATGTATCTTCTAGTGGGTTTGTTAATGATTTGATTTTAATTTTCTCATAGGAATAATAGTCTTGATAAGTTGGTTTGTCATTGTGGAGATATTAATCGATTTTGTGTGAAATTGTGTTTTTGATGATTAAATGGAAAAATGGTTTTGCAGAAATGTTTAGATTATTTAAAATAAAAAATTGGGTTTGAGAGAAACCGATTTAAAACTGGTTTTTAAAAAAACTGTTATTTTTTTAAAAACCGGTTTGAAACCGAACCAATCCACTTGTAAACCGGTTTTAAAAAAATAAACCGGTTTTATATAAATGATTTTAAGATCCAAACCAAACCATATATGTGGTTTGGTTTGGTTTGGTTTATAATCCATGCACACCCCTAATGAAGATTGGGTACCTAACACTATTTGTTAATCATGCAGGAAAAATACCTTGATTCCATGAAGAGAGTATGGGATCTCGTTTATGGAGCATCAAAGCACAACACGATGACATATCCTTATTATTTTGATCTATGCGACTAACAAGGCGGATTGTGTTACCAATCAGGTTAACTTTTTGTGTTTTTATTTAAAGTGGTAAAAGTGTGTGAATGATTACTAATGTTATATCCGAGAAGTGTCGGAAAGGTATTATGTTTAATAATGTAGGTTTATCTTCAAGAATACATACTCAAGTACATCAAATTAGGAGTGATCAACCTAAGATGATTAAACATGAGGAGGAGTAAGATAACCATCATGTTTGAACAAGATTGAGATTCCAACATCAAGGATAATCATCAAGTCAATCACTTTTTTGCCAGATCAAACAACGCGCTCGCGGTGCCGTCGTCTGCGATAGCTTGGAGTTTCTTTCATTGAAGGAGAAGATTGAAGGCGGAATTAGAGATCGAGTATGATGAAGGGTTAGGGTTCTCTGACCTTCATATGAGGATCGAGTGGACAATGGACTTCGCCGCAATCCATCTGATCTTTTCGCTTGGGGTTCGTTGCACCCCTATTTCATTGCCTACCTCCGCTTCTGTTGCATGTTGGGTTATTTAAATTTTAAATTATTTAGTTTTCTTTCAAATTATTTAACAAATCAATTATTGGTTTTTATTAATTCAATTATGATTTGAAATCAATCAATTAGTAATAACCTTGTTTTGGATTTTGTTAAAATTCAATAACTTTGTTTTGACTTTTGTTTAAATTTAATTTATCTGCTAATCTTGTTTCAAATTCAATATTAACTATTTTCTTGAATGAAATTCAGTTAATTATTACTCCTAATTTGAATTCAATTATAATGGTTAGATTTAAATCCGATTATATTCATTTTATTCTTAAAATATTGTTTAATTATTATAATGTTAATTAAAATTCATTTATAATTAACTTTCGTTTTTAATTCATTAAATTAACTATTTTGATCTTAAAATTCTATTGTATTTCTAATTAAAATTTCAACTTATAAATATTAATAACTTTGATCTAAAAAATCCAATTCTTATTTGAAATTCAATTATTAATTTTGTTTTAAATCTAATATTAATCTTAATCTAAAATTCAATCGTATTTGTCGCGACTTCGAACCGATATTCCAATCGATTGAGGGCCTTAATATTCAATTCTGCTTAATTCGGGATCTGTACTGTTAAATTTTAAATTGCTGCCATTATGGTGTGTAATCTCATCTTGTTCTTTTCTGTTGTTAGTATTATTTTGTGCACGTCCAAGGGAAGAACTTGCGCCTGATTTCATAAATCATGCGTATTGCTCTCATTTGCATCATATTCCCTCTGCTTGATCCTTGAGCTTTCAAGTTGATTAGCTTAGGCTTTAGTCCCTACATCTTAAGATAGGATAGACCTCCTCGAATCTTTCAACTTAGATAAACCAACTAAACACAATTCAATTTTATTCTTCCCACAAGAGAATTAGACGTGAGTCATCTTGACAGTCGAGATATAATTCTCCTGCCCCATAATAATATTGCGAGATGCAGAATCTTTTTCGCTTGAGCGTGGTACGTGGAATACTCGTCGATAAATCCGAGTTCTGAGCCATTCTCTCAATGTGACGCAAAGACCATCTCCTACAACTTGTGGTGGTTAAGTCGAGTATTCTCACTTAAGATGACGAGTCATATTTTCTCCTAGAATCAATCAACAAAACTTATCCCCCTGGAACTTTGACCCACAGTTAATGGTTCCTCGATCCCTTTTAGGGGAACTACAAATACTCTGATTCCATTCCCGTCAGGATATGTAGGCACAAGATGCAATTTCTTGACGAGTATACTTATAAATAAACCCCTAGGTCTCTTACCCTTAGCAAACAACAATAGCATAATATAACAAGAGGTTCCTTTAGAGTACTACGGGTTCTTAGGATGCTAGCACCTTCCCTAAGTTTAACCAACCCTCGAACCTTAGATTCTCTAGCTTTGCATTTGCATTGCATCTTTTGGGTTATTCGATCTTTTTCCCTTCCCTTGGACAAATTAAAGACCGGTGGTGAATAATGAATTAAGATTGAAGTTAATCAATAGTTTGATATCTGATTCTCACTGCGACAATTCCTACTTAATAAACCCTTAATAACTCATTAGCAATGCGCCTCAAAGCGGTTCGAGATACTGATCCTCGCGTATTACCACAAAATGGACTTCTGTGTATGTTCTCAACTTCATAAAAAACTATTTTTGAAAAGAAACTCTAATGTTGCCCAATTGTAACTTCAAGTTGGTATTCATAGCCTCCCAAGATTTGAGCATATCACCTATATTGTTCCCCAACATATGCTTTAACTTCCAATGAGCAAACTCAACTCTAAAATATGAAAAAATTAAAAATCAAAACAACGCATAAAATAATTCAATTAAAATACCAATAATAAAGTCGTGGTGTTACCCAAATGAAGCACTTGATTAATCCATGCTCCAACAAATCTATGTCTATGAGGAGTCAACCATGTGTCTTTCGCATAATCAATAAATTCACTACAATGTATACATGCTTGCTTAAGTTGTTACAATCGTCGATCATACTCAACCTCATCACTAGCCCATACAACTTCTATCCATAATGTGTATATCGGCTTTTGCATGTCATTCACCACATATTGCTTGCATTTTTAATCAACATTTTTGTTGATGTGAAATAGACATAGCAAATTAATCGTTGAAAACACAACTTCAATTACTTTCATCAAAGAAAGATCTCTATTAGTCAAAATCACTTGTGGAACAAATCTTTCTTCACAAACAATTATTTCAGTTTATCCAACACCCAACAAAAGTTCTCCGTCTGCTCCGATTCCATATAAGCAAATGCAACACAAAATGTCAACTCAGTTGATGTCATGCCAATAATTTCAAACTAAGGTTGTCTATATTTGTTTGTATTATAAGTGATGTCCATAACTAATACAATAGGAAAAATATTCAACAACTTAACTGAATCTGGATGGACTAAAAAAATATCTTTCACAACTTCTAAGTCATCTCTTTTTCTACTCCAATAAACATAGCCCGCGTCCTCTATAAACTTAAATAAATGTTGTATCTCACTTCTAGGACCTCTTATCTCTTTTTATAATGTACTCTTATGCTTACATATTTGTGTGATCTGAGTGACATTCTCTGGATCTCGCTCTTGCAAGAAAAACAATATGTGTTTAGGTGGAACATATCTCTTTGTCAAATCAACATGTTGCTTCTCATTTGTGCTTAACCTACCAACAAAGAAAAACCCTTCTACTCTATTAGGTAAGCCATGTTCATAAAGTCCACATTTTACATTAGATTTCCACCAAAGCCCATTTTTTGCTAGAAACAACCTGATTTTGAATGGACATTCACATTTCTTAGTCGCACTTTGGGTTCCACTATCTGTACCCTTGTATTTCCCGCCTTTATCACAATCAAATATTACTTTGTTGCTTCTCCTTCTATGGCTTGCTTCGGTATCTGAACGAGTGATGATAACAATTATTTTGCTTCTTCCTCTCTTGTCTATTTCGGTATCTGAACGAGTAATTATAACAATTACTTTATTTCTAATTCCAGCCTCTTTAATTCACCTTGTTATCTTTTCTCGTGTATCAAGTCTTTGTGTATTTGAGAATGCATTATATGTATCTACACATATTTGATTTTTATCTCATATTTATATAAGAGTTTTCATAACTGCAACATAAAAAAGAAAGTCGCTATTTTAAAAATGACTACCAGAACAATTTTTCAATAACTCTTCCAGTAAAAAAAATAAAACATCAGATATCATGTGAAAAAGATTTTGAATACTTGCCAAACCAAAATTTATTGTGCAAATGTTCCGTTAAAAATTAAAAACAAAATCAAAGCGGTTTTCTTTAGTAATTCGAAATAGAAAATAATATATAAATTAGATAACTTATTACAAATTATTCAATATAATATAAAAAAAATATGTAGGTTATCCAGTACGCATACATAGGAGTTCAAATTTTTTTAACTCTAGATTAAATAGTGTTTTACTAAATTAATAAAAATATACAATGGTAAAATTTGACATTTTTTATAAAATGTAAGGTACGATGATAAGTATAAGGGTACGAGATAAACATTTTTTTTTCATTAGTCAAAATCAAAAGCCTTTTTAAGAGAGTGGGTCAAGATAGAAAAATCCGGGTTATTCCAAAAAAAACATTAGTGAAGGATCTGAAATCTTAACCCGGTCCATCTTGGTTATACACTTAAAAATAAAACCCTAACCATTTCCATTCTTCTCCGCCGCATCTGCAAAACCTCGAGAACCAGAGAAACACAGCCGGAGAGAAAAAAATGGTTTCAGGTTCCGGCGCATGCGCTAAAAGAGTCGTGGTGGATGCTCGCCACCACATGCTCGGTCGCTTAGCATCGATCGTAGCGAAGGAACTTCTAAACGGCCAGAAAGTTGTGGTTGTGAGATGCGAAGAGATCTGCATCTCCGGTGGCCTCGTCAGGCAGAAAATGAAGTATATGAGGTTTCTTCGGAAACGGATGAATACGAAACCATCTCACGGTCCCATTCATTTCCGCGCTCCTTCCAAAATCTTCTGGAGAACTCTTCGAGGGTTAGTCCTTTTTCACTCTCACATTTTGACCTAGGTTTAGATTTTATTGTGAAATTGTGTTTTTTAGGGTTGTTATTTGGTTGTTGAAACTGTGTGTTATATGAAGCTGTGAAATGATGAATGTGCTGATATCGATACTTTTATTCACTCTTTTTATGATAAAGAACAATTTGTTATTAATACTGCAATCACTGTTATACGCCACTGTTATATAAAACCTTATCCGTATTGAGCACTAATCAGTGTTGTTAAATAAATGTAGCTGAATTAAGAAATTGTTTTTGTTTTGTGCTATGCTATTTAGTATAATGTGTTATTCGAGTAGAGCTTTGCATGGCTATAACCTATGAATCATCTATATATATACCAGAAATAACAGACACATGTGGTAATATGAGAAAGTAAATTAGTTGAATGTAATCAATGTGTTGTTGTAAACACTTAACATACATTTGATTTGATCGAAGTATTGATGCTGCAAAGATTTTAACACCTAACTGAATTTGAACAAAAAGCTATTGTTAATATGGGTGTTGAGAATGTTTCTTATTTTGTGTAGAATGATCCCACATAAGACAAAGCGTGGGGAAGCTGCTCTTGCTCGCCTTAAGGTTTATGAAGGTATTCCTCCTCCATATGACAAGATCAAGAGAATGGTCGTCCCGGATGCACTTAAGTAAGTTCTGTTGTTTTTGATTTAAGGTTGAAGTTTTTTTTTTGTATGTTAAGTATGATAGTCTCTTTAAAGTTCACCGCATTATTAATTTAATCTGGCATAAATACTGTCTGTCATCTTGGACAACTGAATGAATCAGGGTATTGAGGCTTCAGAAGGGACACAAATATTGTCATCTTGGACAACTTTCATCTGAAGTAGGGTGGAACTATTATGATACCATAAAGGTAATTTACGTGAATTTTTTTTATTGAAAGTTTGATCTTTCGGATTGAGTTTTTAAGTTTGTAAATGTTTTCTTGATTATAGGAATTGGAAAACAAGAGAAAGGAAAGATCAGCATTGGCTTATGAGAGAAAGAAGCAGCTCAATAAATTAAGGGTGAAAGCTGAGAAAATTGTGGAAGAGAAACTTGGCGCCCAACTCGAAATTCTTGCTCCTGTCAAGTACTGAGTTTTGCGTTTTGATATTTTGTTTTTCAAACATATCCAGTTGATTTCTATTTATGTTTAGTTCTGTGTTGTTGGACACTAGATATGATTATCTCAGAAGTTGTTTTCGTGTTTTGCTCATTAAGATTTCTATTACTAGATATGATTATCTCAGAAGTTTTTGTTTTTCTTCTCAATGTTCTCATGCATTTGTTGCTGATCCAACAAATTTGAGCTTATAAGAACATACTGAATTTTGTCTGTTATCTGGTTTTCTTAAGATTCTTTGACCTAATATTTGCTTTATTGGTTTTGTAATCATTGTGTATGGTGAAAATTTTAAAATTTCTGAATATAAATTTTTTTCACTAGTATCAAATTTTTTCAAGGGCAGTTTATTATGAAAATTTTGAGGGGGGGTGTCATGTATAATTTGAAAGATGAATTACATGGCTTAAATGGGTTATTGAGTTGATTTTTTTTTGTTGAATTCAACTCATATTAACACCAATAGACAACATAGAACTCATTAACACTAATAGACAACTGAATGAAAAAAACATCAATAGCCTATATATACCCAGTATGTTGACTATAAGCATAAATTACATGCACTGAAACTTTTCTACCATGCTTCAAGAACAATATAGTAAGTTAGAAAAAGCAGCAGTGGTGCAAGAACAATATAGTAAGTTAGAAAACGCAGTGGTGGTGCAATAACAAACTCTGTTCGTAAGTTGTTACCTCCTCAAAATCCCACTGATGCGCAGCCATTGACTTCACTATTCCTGAGGAGGAATTCACGTGACACTTTCCATATTTTCGATATTCTAAAAATATCTCTATTAATATTTATCTAAAAGTTTTATCTTTTTTTTCAAATCCAAAGACAACATATGAAGTGCTTAACACCTTCTACAATCAACTATAATCTAATCAAGTATAATCTTTAGAAAGAATTGAAAATTCTAAAGGTTAGAAATGACCATAGGGTGAGTTTGAAAATGAATCATTTTAATTCTTTTGTGAAAACTATGAAATCATCCATAAGTTCTCTTTTTCTAGAACTCCATAGCAAAATGGAGTTGTTGAGAGAAAGAACATATCTTTGCAAAAAAATGGCAAGGACAATGATTCGTGAGAATAAACTCCATAAGTACTTATGGACATAAGCTGATAACACTGTTTGTTATATTCAGAACCAAATTTATATCTGACCAATTATGGATAAAACATCATATGAATTATTTAAAGTTAGAAGACCTAGTATCTCTTATTTTCATCAATTCGAATGTACATGTTACATCCAGTATAACAAGGTCTACTTAAAGAAATTGATGCTAAAGCTCAGAAGAATATCTTTTTAAGATACTTTGAACGCTTAAAAACATACATGTGTATAACTCTTAAACTAGATTGGTCGAAGAGTTTATGCACGTTAAATTTGATGACAATTTATCTGACTATAACTAGTCAGAGTATGTCGTTCATAATGATTTCTCTGCAGGATTTCAGAATCATGAAGAACATTCCTTGGTCTATGTCCCTAGAGAAAAAAATGTAGTGAATAATGATCCATAATTTATCATTATATCTGAAGCAATACCAGCAGCTATGGAAATTGAAGTTACTCCTGTAACACCCTCTTCTACACCCTCAAATAATCAAATAAATCATCTAAGCACATATTAGAATTTCATCAGAGTATAATTAAAACATGGTATAAAAGAGGAATGTCACATCATACACAAAATTAAAACATACAACACCTGTTCTATAAAAGATATGCGACAGTGGAGTAGCTTTCAACAAAGGAACTTAGTCCTTACACCCACATCTCAATATTTAGAATTAAAAGCGGAAAATCTAAACATTCAATCATTTTAAACATGTAATCATATAAATACATATCATCCAGTTTGATTCACCACATCATTCAAGTTTACATGAACATTTGTCAGCAGATACATATACAAATGTATCACAAAAGAATGTTATACAATCCTAACTATCCGGTGCTACATATCAGAGTTAACCGACCAAAAGAATAAAGGTATACTTCACAAAAGACCTCCAGCAAACCTAATCTGCAATGCCTCATAGAGCATTATAAAACAGAAGAAGAGTGAAAAATATTATCATAATAATCAATGCATATATATATATATATATATATATATATATATATATATATATATATATATATATATATATATATATATATATATATATATATATATATATATATATATATATATATATATATATATATATATATATATATATATATATATATATATATATATATATATATATATATATATATATATATATATATATATATATATATATATATATATATATATATATATATATATATATATATATATATATATATATATATATATATATATATATATATATATATATATATATATATATATATATATATATATATATATATATATATATACACCCACAAGCATAGAATGCACATATTCCACATTTTTTTACCACAATTCATTTTAATCATCATATATATTACAATATATGTATAAACAAACATGGATAATCACCAAACATGTTTCATCATGCACACGTCCATAATCTTCAATTCAACAATTCATACACAAACATACTTCATATAACAATGATAACTATGTCATGTGACTCGATGCAACTCAATGCAATTCATGCCATGTGGTACCAACACTTGTTATCATTTTTCGGTTTTTACATTTAAACCGGGTCCGTCCCCTAGACCGATAAAAACAAAAGTCCGTCCTCTAGGCTTTCAAACTCACCCTTCTAGGTTTGGGACAAGTCACTAGCCTCCACGAAACTAGCAAGCATTGTCTCTTGACCAAATGATGCATATGCAATCAACAACCAAATGCACTTAAGACCGTTCTCGCATCTTAATCCCATGCATTCTCAAATAATTCATCACATAAGAATTATAACATGATTGCACACACAACACATTTCATAATAATCAAAGCATTCATACTTTCAACACCATCACCACATTTATCAAGCAATGCACACATATTCACTAATATGTTCTCATGCATTCTTCACATACGATCGCATACAATTATTATGCATTCACAATATCGTGCCAACGACAACAAACTCAATCACATTCATCATGAACTTTTAATTAATTTAAACAATGCATGTATTGGTCAAAAGACCGCATTCCACAATCAATTCTACAATTTAGGATTCACGCCATACGGCTACCCCAACATAACATATCACAACAGTACACAAACTATTCATTTCCGATAAGGATTGAACACAATCGAACCAAACAATCAACATTGGATGGAAACACAAGGAAATGAAAATGATGTCACACTCGCTAGCTTGCTTGCCTAGCGAGTTCCTAGCGAACACTCGCTACCTGTTCGCTTAGCGAACAAGCTCGCGAAGGCAAACAGAAGCTACTGTAAGGCTTCGCTACTTACTCGCTGGGGCTTCGCCTAGCGAACCCCTCGCTACCTCGCTCGCTACCAGCGAAGAGGGTCAATTACATTTTGTCCAAGTCTGGGACCATTCGCTACTAGCTCGCTACAGCGAACACTCGCGACCTGCTCGCCTAGCGAAGGTGCTAGCGAACGTCTGCGATGTTCAAAACCCCAACTGTCCAAAATCATCAAATCATCACAAAATCAACCAATTCAATTCCAACGAATTCCAGTAGTCTTAGTCTAGCATTTCTCGACTAATCTACACCATTTATTCTCAATCTTAACCGTTAAAACATTGATTCTACCGATTAAACTCGTTTCTGCCCTAAAATGGAAAATGGAGACTAACACCCCAACAATCCAAACAATCCATACATAATCATACACATTGACAAGATAATGATATTTCACACCCTTAACTTGATTAAATCGAAGCTAGAAGTTGTTCTTGAGCTTTCCAAGCTTTTCCTTCTTTTCCTTCTCTTCCTCTTTCTTTCTCTTCCCTTTCTCTTGTGTTTCTATTCTTTCCTCTTTCTTCCACTTTTCCTTATATGTCTTTCTATTTTATTTTCTTCCATTATATTTCTTCTCTAAAATATCTACCAATAATTAAAATCATCCAAATAAATCAATTAACTAATATGAATAATTAATTACTTAAAAAAATTGGGTTGTTACAATCCTCCCCCATTTTAGGAATTTTCGTCCTCGAAAATGTTACGTGATTCAAACAACTTTGGATAAGACTTCCTCATCTAGCCCTCAAGTTCCCAAGTCACATTCCCACCAGCCGGTCCTCCCCAAGCGACCTTCACCAAAGCAATCTCTTTGCCTCGAAGTTGCTTCAACTCCCGATCCTATATCCGCATAGGTGATGTCTCCACAGTCAGGTTATCTCTCACCTGCACATCATCTACTTGGACTACATGAGACGGATCCACAATATATTTCCTCAACTGAGATACATGGAACACGTCATGGAGATTAGCAAGCGACGGCGGTAAAGTAACCCGATAGGCTACCTCTCCTATCTTCTGCAAAATTTGATAAGGACCAATAAAACGCGATGTCAACTTACGCGACTTCAACGCTCTACCAACACCAGTCATAGGAGTAACCCGAAGAAATACATCATCTCCCTCCTGAAATTCAAGTGTTTTCCTCCTCTTGTCATGATAACTCTTTTGACGACTCTGAGAAATCTTCATCTTCTTTTGAATCATCTTAATCTTATTGGTAGTCTGCTGGACTATCTCGGGTCCAACCACAGAACTCTCTCCCGACTCATACCAACACAATGGTGTCCTACACCGTCTATCGTACAATGCTTCAAACGGTGTCATACCAATACTCGAATGAAAAATGTTGTTGTAAGTAAATTCAATCAAAGGTAAGTAGTCATCCCAAGATCCTCCCTTCTCCAACACACAAGCTCTCAAAAGATCCTCAAGTGACTGAATCGTTCTCTCAGTCTGACCATCGGTCTGCGGATGATAAGCTGAACTCAAACGCAACTTCGTACCCAAAGCACTCTGCAAACTCTCCC